TGTGTGTGTGAGTGTGTGTGTGTATGCTGGGGGGAGGGGAGAGAGGACCCCTCCCCCACCAGTCAATCAATCAATCAATCAACCTAGCAATCAATCGATCAATCAAACAATCAATCAATCAATCAATAAATCAATCTGTCAATAAAAAAACAATCAATCAATCGATATACATATATATATATATATATATTGTATTTTATTTTTTGACACACATCAAAACTCCCCCCCACAAATTTTTGATTTTTTTTTTTTTTTGGCACAGGCCAAAAGCAGTCGACGTGTGCAGGCCGAGCGCGAGCGCCCATTTTGAGCGCGCACCCCCGCCTACGTCTAGCGCGGCCGCAAAAAAAGTCAGCCACGCGGCCTAGGCTGTGGGCCCGCGGGCGGCCTCCTCGGCCACAGCCGAGGTGGAAACGTAGCCCTCAAGCGTGTATTGAGATTTCAAGGCCCTCTCATGCGAGTCGAGTTGGCCTCCTCTTGTATCCCGAGCGTCTGAAACCCCTCCTTCTGCCCTTCTTACTCTGAGTCTGGTCTAAAGCTACGAGAGGAAGGCGGCTCACGGGATTGCAGTCCGTAGGACCGCATCAAGACTCTGTAGGGAGTCCGCCCACCAATTGCAGGAGCCCTGTCGGAACTCAAGAGTTCTGGAGGCAGGGAACTGAGAGGTGTTCCACTCCTACCTTCTATAAACCCTGCTAAAACCCTTATGTGAACATCCCTTTATGGTTGGTTGACTATCAATGCATGCATCCCTATTGTTTTTCTGTTTGACTTTTTGGATTTAACTCAGACTGAAATAAAGGGATGCATGTTCATCTCAAGTTTATTCTTTCTTTGGTCGTATGAGAATCAAATAAAAGAGGGGTGACAAACTCAGAGAAAGTGGGAGGAAGGTGGATTTGATTGAGATTGTGGATCATACGAAGGGGATTAGGCATTGTTTCCAAGTTGAATGGTCTAGCTGCTATGTTTCTGAGAATTGCCTTCTGATGGGCCAGACGATGCGTTTTTGTTAAATAGTCTAGTAAATGTGGCTTTGTTTTGGGGGACTTGATTGGACCTTTGAAGAAAAGATTGAAGATGACTGACCAAACACACAATCAACATGCCGAGTCGGTCGCTTTTGGTTGGGAGAGATCAGCTAGAGCCCAGAGCTACAAAGCCGTTCACGATTGGACTTGTCATTCCTTCCAATGTCCGACTTAATGTTGAAGCTGCACTTCGAGATCTGAGTCTATCTGCTGAAGGGAGTATCCATGCAGGAGACAAAAGCGAGGAGTGCACTTCATAGATCTTATCAGTCTGTCCAATAGGCGAGCGAATACTATTTCGGAAAGAAGCTCTGAGAACTGTTCAGGCGCGTTGATTGTGGTAAGACATCGTAGCGGAGTTTGACCATTATAGAAAGACGAAGCCTGGAACGGAGCATATTATTTTGAACTTAGTGAATTGCAATGATTTTTGCAGTAGGACAACGTGGTGAAATTTATCCACAATCTTAAAATATTTTTTGTAAGTTGGGTGATGGTTAAGCAATTTTGGAAGTTTAGTTCATCGCAGCGACAATTTTTTTAACCCTGCTAAAACCCTTATGTGTATATCCCTCTATGGCTGGTTGACTATTAATGCATGCATCCCTATTGTTTTTTTGCTTGACTTTCTGGATTTAACTCAGACTGAAGTAAGGAAATGTATATTAACCTCAAATTATTATTTCTTTGGTCGTCTGAGAATCAGATAAAAGAGGGGTGACAAACTGAGAGAAGGTGGGAGGAAGGTGGTTTTGATTGAGGTTGTGGATCATACGAAGGGGATCAGACATTGTTTCTAAGTTGAATGGTCTAGCTGCTATGTTTCTTAGAATTGCCTTCAAATGGGTAAGACGATACCTTTAAGTTGAATAGTCTGGTCGTTATGGTTTTGTTTTCAAGGACTTGATTGGACCTTTGGAGAAAAGATTGAAGATGACTGACCGGACACAATGTCAACATGCCGATTCGGTCAGTTTTTGTTGGGAGAGACCAGCCAGGGCCCAGAGCTACAAAGCTGTTCACGATTGGACTTGTCATTCCTTCCAATGTCCGACTTAA